TAGAGCAAAAGAATGTTAAAGGAGCAAGCAACATCATACGGAAACTTTTACGAGAAAGATATTTCATAAGTGGCTAGCGAAATTGCGTGTAACATTTTGACACGAATGTAAGGCAAGATATGTGTAGGTGTGTAAGACTTTTAATGAGGATGGGTGCGAGATAGAAAAAGCACCAGGCAGCACTGGGATGATGACTAGCAGATTGAGAGCAAGTTTTTTTCCATCATCTACGACCTATATATTACGTAGAATTCAAAATTAACACCTCATGAGCGCCACAATCACTTTAATTTCATGAGCAAAATATTGCCAACTCCGAAGAACGAAAGCTAATGGAGGACAGTAGCAGACTAAACAAAAATTAGATTCGATAGAAATTTACATGTTTGTATCATATTTGTACATTGAGGAGGCAACATAAACTAAGCAGTAATGCTGTTCATGCGAAAAATATGTGTAATAAAATCATTGTAAATATTGGTTTATTGGATGGGTGTATTTTTTTGCTCTTTAGTTGCCTGTTGGACGGGTGTAGTAAACTGAACATATTAAAAAAGGTTGTAAAACAAAGTTAAATGTACATTCATTTTGCTTGACACCTTCGGTGTAGGTTTCTTATATTTGTATGAGAGGCAGAAGTTATACTTGCTGTGACCAATTATCGTTATTATAGTAATAAGTTTTAAAGAGCAAAAACTACGCATAGCTTAACTGACATAAAAGGGAGTATTTAGTATTAAGATAATTCACCGATTTAGCATCCTTGTCTGTTGAAGTGATGGCTACGAAATAATCAGCTGATGTTATTTCAGAATTTCATTTCTGAATATTGGTCCCCTAAATACTTTTATTTGCAAAAGTCATTCTGCTAACCAAATTGCGCCCTCTTGTGCGCAAAGCAAGCCATCGAACCCGTCTATACATTTCGATAAAGCGCTGAGATGCGCACATCATTTCGGTCATGTTTTTCATTCTAATCACAATTCATTATGTAACTCGGAGGAAGAATAAATTAGCCTCATGACTATACACGTGTGTATCTCCAGTACTCAATTGTGGCAAAACCTGGGAATTTCAAAGGGCCGAATAGCAGGCAAGACTCAGATCGGTGGTACCGCACACTGGGATAGGTTTATTTTCAATCCCGCTGAGTGGTTAGCGCTTGAGCCTACTTCCGGACAGTGACTAGAAAAAAAAAGTTTAATTGCATTTAACACATTCTGGGAATCCTCTAATCAGTACGTACATCGTGAAAATAACTACGATAAGGCAACAGATGCAATAACATCGAAAAAATCCGCTGGAAAATTAACTAGCTTACACTCGCGAGGAATGTATGTCACTATGAATTGCCGGCATGAAAGAGAACACTTCAAGTGTTGCTGACAGGAAAACGCTGGAGGTTTAAATGAGAAGAGCAGCGTCAACAACGGGACTAAGCTTATTCGCCGACGCGCTATACTAGTGAAGTATTCACTGAGACGATACTATGCATGCATACCAAATTCATGAGAAAATACCTACGATGTCAGTCGTGTTTGTAGTTGAATCCTCGGACTATAGAAACAAATCTGGCAATTTCTAACGTGCAAACACGTAATTCATATACATTTTTATTACACTCGTTTGGCAATATAAATTTTACAAAAACTATTTACAGCTTGTAGCCGATTCGCGGTTGCGCGCTTGAGGTGTGACAGATGTTGCCAGATTACAACTAAAGAGTTAAAAAATGTCAACATTAAGGAAATTGAAACCTTAGAGAGATAAAAGGACGGTCTCGCCGCATAAATGATGGTGAAACGAAGGAAAACTAAATTTTGATGTACTACAATAAAAAAATATTGTATTACATCGGAACTCAATATGGTTTATTGTGGCTGGCAGCTGACCAGCGATTATCGATACACGATAAGATAGTATACTGTGCTTGTCAATATAGTTGAAGCAAGACTTCATATCAAAGTTATTATTGTTATTATCATTAAAGTATTTTGTCTTTAACAGGTACCTGTTTGTTATATATATAATCTTCTTAATGAATGTATTGTTCAATAACTTGTAAATGCTAAAATATCAGCATATCTAAAAACTATGTGTAATCGTATCTGCATAAAATGATGAATGGGAATTCAATAGATCCTCGGAAAATGGCAATACAGATCACATATTACTTATTGTGACCTTTTTTAGTAAGGCGCGTACTTTTTTTATCTGTTTCATATATATGCACCCTAAGGATGTCTTAAACCAAAAGGTGAAAATCCTTGAGTGAGAGTTCATTTCCTACCTTTGATTTTTGTAATTTACAAGCATCGCTTGATTTTATGAGGAGTTTGCTACATTACCTTTAAATTTCAATTACGATACATCGGGTATTTCAAATATAATTTACAGTATTGAATAACAACAAGTAAGTATTTGACGATAATAGAATGATAACTTGACAAACGTTTCCGTGTTTCAATTCGCTAGAGTTAGTCTTTCTGGTAATTATAGAATAATATATGCATGTGCGTATTCGCTGTTTTGAGGTCGCATCTATTATTCTGAAGTAGCGACCGTTACCTTCTGCATTTATGAGCATCGGAAGGACACAGCCTCAAGGCAATGAGTGCCCTAGAAGAAGCCATCTAATCTAATTGAAGCGTATGTCCATGAAGTAAAATGTATTTGAGTCAGTGCAATTTGGAGGATAAAGTATACTTCAATTTCTATAGTATATTTGTACTTCCGTCACTGGTGTCTATGCGGAAATTGTTAAGAAAAGACGGTAACGATTTTACAGATGTCTACGTTAAAGCTATCCTAAAACTTAAATGCTCAGGGTTTGATTTACCATCAGTCGAACGTTTTCTTCACTTAAAATTTTTCGAAAATTACCTATTGAATTAGAGACATGAAAAGCGTCCACAGTATAACAATCAAATATAGTTATCGCTTTATTACAACAGCAGGAATAATCAATTTCTAGTTTTCCAACATTTTCCCTTCCCCGGAGTTTCGGGCGTTCAAGCATGCGTCACGCAAGAATTCGCTTTTTAACCACGGCCTTTATCGCTCTCAAAGTCCTTATTATTATTATTATTTCTTCCTTCAACCTGCTTCCTGCCAGCACGCTCAATCTCACTTGCGTTCTTTACGCGAGCACCAGGTCTCGACAACCGACAAGGTCTCACAATGTTATTTTTCATGCTTCGCTGTGTTCACATACATTCAAACGCTCAAGTCAGGCAAACTCATTAATCGTTTTCATATATAGTACATACGATACGCTTACGCGCGTATTTCCGTGACTCAGATTCAACAAAGTTATTTTTTATTCCCTAATATTATTGTTATTCTTTTTAGTAGTCGTAGCGGTAGTATTAACCAAAGCGTGGTACTCTAGATACAAAAACGATATTCACACAGATTTATCCCTTTCGAACCGGTAGAATTTTCTCGAATATTGTGTCCGGAAAAAATATTCTATATATTCATATACCCAATGAACATCGATAGTTTTACTTTCCGTTATTTTTGTTGTCTTATTGATTTTTCCCAGTTTTATACTTTTTCATTTCGTCATTACTATAATGCTTATTTTATAAGCATAATTATACGTTAGCTAGTAGTACTCGTAAAAAGATTATAATATAGCCTCCACTTGTGGTAGTGCAATGCCGTTCGCACGTTTATTCGTTGGTACTACATCTCATCAGATGATACTGTCAACAGTTACATATGGTTCAAAAGGTGGGCTCGTTTTTTATCATCCTCGATTCGAGATACTTCCCTGGGTTTGTTTTAAACTTTGGCAGAAATATTTACAATGAAGCGGGCAGACCTCTACTGGCCCGGGCTGTCTCACTATTATAATGAAATTGTCACAGCCGCTGTTGCTGCTGCTGGTTTTTTTTTGCTGTTTCCTGAGTGGAAGTAAATGAAACTAGTAAATAAATGAGGATCGATCTACTGAATTGCGAAAATGTAAGATGAGTACATATGTATATTTATGAAAAGATGAATATTCGCTGTGATGATGTTAATAAGATAATAACAACAATATAAGCAATTAATGTATTACATAATAATTGCAGATTTTTTTAAGAGTTGAAATAATAATAGTACAGACATAGAATGACGGCTCTCCAATCGCGAAAGCGGAATAGCATCATCATCGTCATTGCATTATTGTCGTCTTACGTGCTTGCGTAATTCGATTCTAGTGATAACACTCACTATAAGGTACCGAAACATGTTTTTACACTTTGAAGTGGATCTTCTCCGGTGTGCATGTCTTAATCCATGAATTTACACTGTGTACCATAACGACGCTCTTATCTTTTTCGTTTGTCTTTAATAACGACATGTTCGCTAAGCCCTCCATGATACAGGAAGCCGAAACTTTTTTTGAAAACCTATTAACGATTGATTCTCACACTCTAATAATAACCGCACGGAAATTAAGCGCGTCTGTAGTTACGCGATTTGAATTCCCGTGCACTTCTTGCATGAGCGAGGCAGATGCGCAACACTCGACACTTGCCGGTCTACCGTTACGCAGTTTACATTTAATCATCATCATCATCTGCTTTCTCTGTTTTCGGCACCTTCTTTAACTGTTTCACACTGGTTTTCTGTGCGTCCTCAGTGAGGACCGTTCGAAGGCTTTGCACACACGTTGGAGGCACCATTGTGCCGACAATTCGCAGCCCGCTTTCCGTTTTCAACCGGACGACCTGCAGCTTGAACGACACCATGTTGTTGGCGGAAAGTGCTGATTCGACCTTGGACCACACAGTGAACACTGAACCTGCTAGTACATGATAGGTTCGTGAGCGCAGACCGGCGTCGCACGGTATGCCGAGATTGGCTTTACGACATGCACCAGTCCAGTAGATGTGTGAACAGGTGTGTTCCGAGCTCGAATACTGATTCTCCCATGAGTCCTGGGCGTCGTCAGGCGAGACAAACTTGTACTTGGCTTTGATGTTTGCCAGAGTGTCCTGTTTTACCTGCAGACCGGTGTTAGGACGATATGTACGGAAGAGCTTTTCCCGTGCTTTATTTTTACTGTTTTTATTGCTTTTGCCCGCATATACGGCAAGAATAACCGTCTTATGGCCGTTTCGAATCTGATTTGACAGGTAAAAACCCTCATCGTTTTCGTAGAGCTCCCGATACTTATCGATAGCCTCCTCCCAGCTCATACCTCGCTCGACACTGACTGTGTGAAGTTCGGTCATCGTAGGGCCAGTTGGTGAAGACCGAACGAATTCTTCAGTCCTCTCTAACTTCACGTTGTCAGCATTTGCGCCGAGGTCAAGAATGCCCAGATCGAATTTTCCCTCTCTTTTTGCGCTTGACACAACAGCATCCATCGTGTCCATAAAGTACTTGAACAAAGCGTTTTGCAAGTCAACTTTGAGGCCGAGTAGGCGATTGAGAAATTTTGAGATGTTGTTATAATCTTTATCCAGAACAGCGATCGATGATGGCCCGTCATCTTTTACCACCAGACCAACTCCAAGAAGTCCTTCTTTACAGTCTTCAAAGAAATCCCCGTCGTAATCTTCAGGCGGTTTTACCATCGGCTTCTCGTGACCCATTATCGCCTTCATTGTGTGTTCAAGCGCGATGCGGCCGAAATTATTATCAATGTTAAACATCGACAGATCTCGAGATTCACCAGCACGGCGATCGCCGTGCGTTAGTGCACCCATACTTTCAATTCGCTTAGCTACGATTGAGGCGAAACGACGCTCACCTGCAAGATCGCTAATCAAGAATAGGTATTCCGGGGCAGACACTTGGTTCGACCTGTGAGTTCGACCAAACTGCTGCACGGCACGATCAGCACTCCACGGCAGTTCGAGCGTGATGTGTAAACGTCGTTTCCTATTTTCTGCACGTCTATCGGCCTGTAGCGAGATACCTGATGAAGCCGCTTCGGAAATGATAGCAATATTCTTTTCACCGCTCATGAAGCGCTGCTTCTCCGTTACGTTGAGTATCTCCAGTGGGACATCACTTTCAGTCCGAGACTCGTACGATACACCGCCATTATCATCGCTGACTACGCGTCCCTTGCGGCCAGTCATTTCAGCTACCTCACTTGGCCCGCCAAGCTCGTCAATCAGTTGGTCCAGCGTGTTAATGGGTAGGACGTCACCAATCGAATCGAGCATAGCCAACAGCTGCTGTTTCATGGCTGCCGCTTTGTCGCCAGCGTCCTTGCTGAATATGATCGACTGGGTCATTTCAGAAAAAGGTGACGGTGATCGGTCCCGGCGTCGTTTCTCTTTCTCTTCTTTGGGCTCTTTTCCTTTTTCTTTCTTTTCCTTTTTAGCTTTCTTGGGCTTCCTCTCCTCTGAATTAACCGCTTTCTTCCGCTTTCGACTTGAGCCTCTGCTAGCCCAGGGATCATCGTCCTCTCCGTCACTGTTGTCCGCTCCAAACGGATTGAAGTCATCACCGCTAAGGTCATCATCAGAAGCGGATACGGACGCTTCATCGTCCGAACTCACGTCCGAGCTTGAGTCCTCTTCGTCACTCGAACCACCACTCGAGCTTTGCTTCTTGTTCGCCGCGTCGGACTCATCCTTATCCGAAAGACGACTTGACCTTGGCATGAATTCACTCTCGTCAAGAAACGAACCCCCAAGCCCCAACAAGGCGAGCGTCTTTTTCCTGTTGGGAGCCGGAAAATGCTTCTCGACGAGGCTTTGGAAAACACCTCGTGCGGTCGAAACGAAATCGGTTAACTCTCCGCCCTGCTCTTCTAGTTGCTCTAGCGTACGTGACTCGCCCGTCGATTGTAGACCAATAACAACACATTTGCCATCTCGAATAGCATCACGAGCCACTTTCACAACGTATGGTACCTTAGCCGCTATGCAAAGGTATTTGAAAAATCTTTGATGGGCGCCCCAGAATTGGCCCCACATGGTCTTCTTTACCCTGGCATCAGCATCCATGAGTTGGGCAGCTTCCGCAAACATCCGCCGCGCCTCGATCCAAAGCCGAACCGCCTTGTTATAGGTGGATATGAAACGATCTCCTAGTGCCACTTCCTCTATTCGAAAGGTCACCCCTGCAAAAGAAAGCTGCCTAGCTATGTACATTCCACGGAGTTTCATATCCATTGCCACGAGTTCCATGGTTCCTACTCCACGCTTCTCTACCGCGTTAAGGAAGTCGTTGAACTCGGAAAATTGCGTGCCTTCACCCCATATGCCTAGTCGCGTCATGTAAGCCATATTTCGAGGCTCTGACGCTCCTGTCGCAGATGCGTAAACGACTCGAGCCTTCGGCAGACGATTTTGTAGTTCAAGAACGGTTTGTCCCGTCTTTGTCGGTTTAGATGATCCGGCCGGGTAAAGATTCTTCGCTTTGTGGCATTCATCAAAAACTATTACGCCGTCAAAATCCTCACCGCCACACCAGTGAAGGAGCTGCTTGAGGCGAGTTCGATACTTCGACGAACTTGATGAACTCTCGCCAATTAGCGACGAGTACGTTGCAAAGATCACTCCTTTCTTGCACGATCCGTTTCGTTTGCTCGTGATTTTATGGTATTTGAACTTATTTAATGGGTGCACGTCAATTTTCGTTGCGCCAATGTCACGAAGGTCGCGTTCGGCATCGAACCGAAGGTCATTCGATACCGATAACCACAGTGCCCTCCTTCGGCCGAGAAGAAAATTTTCAAAAATAATACCTGCTACAGTTCGTCCCTTTCCAATTCCAGGACCATCACCAATTAGATAGCCGGCACGCTGTCCATTCGGAAGAATTACTTCGTGCTGTTGACATGCATAAGTTATCGATTCGAGTTGGAGAGCCGATAACGCGCCAGTGTCAATGGTTTCCTCATCAACACTGAGTCGATAGTGTACGTCTGGTGGAGGAACTGATGACAGTGAGGCCGTTTCGACTACCGGGTCTGGATGCTTTAGGCCGATGCGCAGTTTTGCGGGCACATAATCTGAATAGGTCTCTGCCACTCCAAGCTCATCTTCTTCATCGGGCACTAGCTGACCTTCGTCCATCATATGGTGGGGTGGTCGATTCGGAGGTCCTTGTCTCGGAGGTCCAGGGATCCCGCTGTCACCATTGCGGAGAGCTCCAATGGCACTTCCTGACACCTGAAGTCGCATCTGTGGGGGCGCGCTTCCTGGTGCCAGGCCTCGGGACGTCACGAGCAGAGATCGAGGATGAGGAACACTTCGAGACACGAGCGATGTCGCACGGGGCGTCGTCACCGGGGTGCTCGTATGGCCATTCACGTTCACTTTCCTCACAAGCGGGCCGAGGGAGGTAGTTGTTGAAGATGTTGCTACTTTGTGCACCACCTGACCCATAGACATGCTAGGGCTTGGCCGAGCCGTGACGGTGCGCGTTGCAAGTGGAGTTGTCGTCGCTTGTGTACGAACCGGCGTTGGCTGACCCCCAACCGCGACGACGCGTCGGATGATCGTGCCACCAGATGGGTTGTGTGTGTGAATAACACGTGTTGTAGAAGACGTAGTTGCTACTGATGTCATTTGTTGCGGAAGGGTCGCTTGAACCACTCGTGCAGAATGAGCGGCCTGCTGCTGCACAGAACGAACGGTCTGAACGACGGCGGGTCCCTTCGGTGTCATAACACGGGTAACCATCTTTGGACTTGAAACTCGTACAACTTCAGAGTTTGTTGCCAAAGCCGACACCGGAGTGAGTGACACTGGTGGTGTTGAACTTCGGATCAGAACTCGCTGCTGACCGCCTGAACTTGTAGGCACAAGGCGGATCTGCTGTGATCCTCCGGGACCTGCGACCTGGGTCAGCTGACTAGCGGGTACCCGAACAAACCTAAGAGCACCCCGTGGAGTGTTCGGTGTGGAACCAGTACTGGATATCGCTGTCGGCGACGAGGCCATCTTAATAATTGTTGGTGGTCTAGGGGTGCTCCCAGGTGTGAGCGAGCTGCTGGGCGCTGCGATTCGAACAATCCGTGTACCTGGAGCTAGTTGACGTACTACTTGCTGTCGACCACTCTGACTGTTCAACAGAATCTTGACGGGCTGTTGGTGATGTTGCTGTTGAGGTCTAGGATATGTGGCCACTGTAACGTTGTTGTTGAGATGCGAAACGCTAGCCGGGGCGGTCAACACTTTGGCAGGAGCGCGAACAACCCGTGTAACCGTAGTCATCGAGACTGGCTGGTGCTGCTGCTGAATACGCTGTGCTACTGTTGGAATCGGTTGGTGATGCTGTATTTGCTGTTGCTGTTGGACTTGCGAGGGTCCAGCAGCCTGCAAGTCCTCGACGCCAATACCCGATTCGTCGAGTGCTGCCGATAGCAGATCCATGTCTGCCGCGCGTTCTGACACAAACAAAAATCGCAGACACTAGCGCAGCAGCAACCACAGCAGCAAGCGTAGTCGAACGAAGAAGCGCGCAGGGACTCGGTCAGGACTGAGTTGTTTGTCGAACAGCAGCAGCACCCAGTCGTGTGCGTTGGGCTCGGCTCACCCCTCTCGACGACGGCAAGTCGTCGGAGAGGCGCGGAAAACACTATATATGATAGTGATGGGGGAATAGACTTACGGCTGGAGAACACCACTTACTTGCAAGCGTACAAACGAACGACGTTGCCTCGTAATAGGCAGCAGCTAACCGACCGCTGCTGGTGCAGCAGGTCTGGGCTAGCAGACTGCGATAGCTACGGCTGCAAACTGCTACTCAGTCGGTCGTCCGTTTGCCAAAGAATAACAACAAAAACTCTTCGGGACAGAAACCAATCACAAACGTTGCTGTCGTTGAGTGTTGTTGTTTCGGCGGCTGATTCACTAGGCGCGAGACAATTTAGGGCGGAGGGGGCCGACGTCGAGGGCCGCCTACGGCCGGCCTCGGGGCCCTGGTTACTGCACTGGGGCTTTGAATAACGTTGAGAGAACTGACGCGGGCACACTTCACGGAGCACATGGCACAACTGAGGCTCTCACCCGACGAACAGCTTAACCCCGGGGAGGAGGCAGCTCCGTCGAATAGCGAGCAAGCCATCTTGCCAACACGAAGCTTACTCACTTGCGTAGTCTTGATGATTGACCAACGCCAAGCTGCTGCTCAGACTGAACCTTTGGCCTCGACGAGCCTAATACGACACAAATCTCGACTGCGGACGATTCAAATCGTCCACTGATGGACATTCAAAGTTTGCCACAAGACGCAAAACAGCTAGCTCACTAAAACTCGGAACTCGAATGGCGACGCCAGAAAAGCTAGCGTCATGTCAAACGATTGTGGCTTTCCGGCACTCGTCGTCAGCGATTTTCGTCCACACGCAATGACAAATCATACTCAGTACGTCACATTATATATATCGATGTGCTACGTTTTCATCTTAATCTTATATGACGAACAATCGCCTCGTTTGGTAAGCACATCGACAAATTTGCCACTTCGAAATGCGCGCGCATTCCCCTCCCGTCCATATCATTAGCCTGCAGCCTACTGTGTATCGCTCCGCCATTGCGTTTCCGGTCACAGTGTGTGTGGGTGTGTGTATGTATGTGTAGGGCCGCTCAGTTGTCTTGTTGATGGTTGGTTCTTGAGTGGCCGAGGTAGCGCCTTTCTATGACAGTCAATGGTGTCCTGGTACGTATCGTCCCGTTCCTCTTGCAGCCCACTGCGGCCTACTCTCGCAGCTCGGCTCCAGCCGCGGCACCAGAGGCGGTGCGGTAAGCAGGATGGCTGCCGCTGCTACGACAATACACTAGCAGTGCTGCTGGAATATCACTGTTAACGTCGCTGCTAAGAGCAGCGAAACTCAATGCTATTGCTGCTATCGCCGTGGTGTGAGTGAAAGCACATCAGCCGGAGGTAGAGCGATTGTCTGGGTGTGTGTTTGTCACATGAGAAGAAGACCCAGGACATAGGAGTGAGACGAGTTAAGGGCTCTGTGTTAATGCTACCTATGGTGGTGGTTGTAACAGAAAGAGCGTTGCACTGCTGCGGTATCGTGCGGTGACGGATAATATTGCTGAAAGGAGGGAAAAAACCGTGCAGCAGCCGCTACGCCGAGTGAGAGTGTCGTTCGTCCCGTTCCACTTCAAGTGTAAAGAGCGGAGAAGCAATTGGTGAGCCGCTTGCATACTGAATATTCGAGTAGTAGATTTAATCAGTGACTGTGTGAAACAAGACTCTCGGTGGACAGATAGTTGATACCCGAAAACACTGATCGCCGAGCGGTGTTCGGCGATCATTTAATGGTGCCAAAAGTCGCAGCTACGACGGCTGATTCCGTTGCTAACCGTCGATGAATAGCTGTGAGTTGTGGCGGTAGAACATGTCTCAACGTCAGAATCACTCGTCGATAGAGAAGCACTACTAGCGGATAAGATAGCGTCGAAGAAACTACGTCGAGACAGGTACTGAGAAAAGGATTCATTTACTGTTGTTATTGTTGTTGTTGTTGTTACACAATTGTACCGACGGGAACGAGACCCACAAGTAAACGACGCAGTCGCACGTTTTCCCAGTGGGTAAAAGTCTCATCTTGCCAGCAAATTGGTTTTGTCCAGGTGCGCTACTGCAGGTGTTGTGTTTGTGTTTTCATGTGCGCCAGCTATCAACTTCCTCTATGACAATATCGATAGTAGTACTCGCATGTTTATAGAATGAGTGCGCTCAGAAAAAAAGATAGATAAATAACAATCAAAGCGAAATATGTTAGCCGCCGCCAAAATGGAATAGTGGTTGATGGCGCGCACCGTTTACAGTGACGTGTTCTCGTTGATTGTCGCGATTTCAACTTTTATTCATTAGCTTTCGTTGTTTTTTTTTATAAACAAGTAAGGTAGCGTAACCGAAGTACGGGATAGCACAAATTTCGACCCCGAATAATTACTAAGTGCGAAAAATGAACATTGATCCTAAACCGAAGTTCAAAACAATCGAAATCGTTGATTGTTCACCGAATTCGCTTGTTATCGTGAATTTAATCGTCGTCATTTTCGAGGCAGCTTGCTAGCAGATTCTGTCGATTAAGCTGGAGTGCAGCGAGGATGTAAAATGATTGTATCGGGTGATCGTTTATGGACTGGGGTAGAGATAGTCCAGGGGTATGGGGTGTATTGGTCACGTGATAATAACTGTTGATGCAATCAGCAGGACAGTGAGAAACTGTGAAACGAAAAAACACCGAAGTTTGTGTCGTCGTACAGATTAAGTCGCCATCGTGATTTCGCGCTCTTCCGAGCTTCCTATCCGGGGAACATAATACACACAAGTGGTTCAACCGTAAACGAGACGAGAAAAAACGCGACATTTTGTTGCCCGAAAAAACGCCGGAGCTTTACAGCGACTGAGAGTGCAGCTGAGTTGATAGTGCTCTGTGGAGTCTCTCTTGTGCATGGATAGTTTTGTGAAGTAGATTAAAGGAGAAGCGTCGAAGATGTCGAAGAGAAGGCAAAATTTATCTTTTGCATCGTGTGTTGTGCACCCGGAAGTTCTACATGTCTCCGTTTTTGTGTGAGTGTAGTACCTAAAAACACGTTAATTGTGTTTTTGTATGGATGTGCTTAACCGATCTTCGACTCACCAACGGAATCGATAGCCGGCTTTCCAACGACTGCTATTGAATATCGTGACGACACGAAAATCGCACGAAATCATCATGTCGCTTATTGGCCGTCGGTTGGTGATCGAGCTTACTCATTTGTGAAGGCCGCTGTACAGTGCAAATACTACAAGCGTACAACTGGCATAGGATACAGCTACAGTGAAAACACGAACTCGTCCTAAACAAAGATTGCCGAAATAACACAACATCAGCTTTCAACATACCGCAAAATAGTCTAATTGACAGTTAAAAAAAAGAAGTTCGTTTCAATGTGAAAACCACACAGGAACAGGAGAATGGTGTTCTTACAGCTTACTGCTGTGACAACAACGGCAACCATTACGGGGTTAGCAAGTGGACTCTCGTCACGACATAGGACAAGGATGGGTTCATTGTTGATCCTTCTAGCCCTGATTTGGCCACTAGGTAAGAGCAAAAAACAATGTAGACAAAGTTCAATTAGTTCAAGTGTTCAAAAGAACGCTTAGGTGTTTTCTATAGATCGTGAATGTCCGCACGTAAAGGAAAAAACACATTATGTAATACATATAAACATCGATATGAGAATATGTTGAACTAGCAAATTCGAATCCTAACGGCCAACACGACACTGTTCATTGGTTCCATCGCTTACTGTGCTCGCTATATGCACTGTGGTCGAAAGACGAATTAGACGTAAGTGTTAACGCTTGGATACTGTGTAATATAAAAATATTATATATGACGCTACCGAAGCCTTTCGTAGTGGGCACGGAGACAACGATATCGACACGAACGGCGAACCAAACGTAAAAAGATGAGAAAGATTGCAACACATTTATTCTCTTTTCTATCTTTCTTTCTTATCCTTTCCGTTTGTTTACCTTCAGAGGCACCCGGCCAATAGTCGCCGCTAACTAGACGGAGATCTCGTTATTTGGGTACACAGTCTGACCGCTATCTATCCAGAGTGTTCTGTACACCTAAAATGTTTTACTTCTCAGGTGTCGAGAAAAAAACACGTTGTTTTAGCCATGATTGTGAAATTATATCGGTTGTCGTATAGTTAGCATGTTTAATGTGGGTATCCCTGGTCATATACTACTTAGACGATATGAATTGCGCGATATGACCAGGTTCGTGGTATCCTAATATTCTTAGTCGAGTTAGTTATTCAGCGAGACCAATTTTTATACTGCAGCTGGCTAATTTTCTCCAGTATTCTAGTCGTGGTTGAACCCAGTCATATTTTCGTTTGCCCCTTATGATGTTGGTAACTTTTAGTTCTATTTAAATTAAGGATAGTTTTTGAGGCAGTATAACCTGAGGCAGGCTTCCTTATTTTCTGTGAAACATATACACCTTCTTTGATTTCCAAGTCGAATATCGCAGGTAATCGAAGCTTTTCTAACGAAAATAAAGCGATGTAAATATTTTCCATAAAGAATGTTAGTCATATAATGTTTCGGGCGTTCTCCGACAAGCTAATAGCTAACATAACAGTTCGTAGAACGTTCAAATACAAATATACGTGACCATGGATAAATCTATTTGACTCGTTGTTTGACAAAAATGCGTTTCTTATTCTAGACTACACAGTTGTCCCTGTGATGGTGTAGCGGTAACGTGTTCAGGTATTAGATCTAAGAACACTTCTTGGGATGGTTTAAGTTCGAAATGGGATGTGGACATACTTCGTTTGTGTTGGAAGTTAACTGTCTGAAGCAATGCCAGATATAAGACTCGGATCATTTACTTACAATGTATGTAGTCCCCGTTAGCACCGCGCAGATGCACACGAATGAGCTTAGATAATAGTGATGACAGCTTCAACAGAAAGAACAACAAACGGTGGAACCAATAGTAACAGCTATCTTCTGTGAAAGACAGGGACTTTTCCAAAAAGCAGCCCAACCACCAGGGATGAGGGAAGCAGCAGTACAGGGAATCCGCCCCTCAAACACCCAGGTACCGCCCTATCTCCAGTGCCTACATGCGCTACGAACTGAGTATCACTCAGCTGCTGGGCCGTTCAAGTTAGCGCGACGTCATTTGTTTCAATTAGGTTGTGCCCTGCATGGAGAGAAAAAGAAGCCGAAAGAAAGACAAAACAAAGAGAAGCTTTATGTGACGTCACACTGAGGTTTTGAGAGAAAACGTTTTGCAGAAACCTCATTCGTACCAAACGTACACACTGAATCGAGCTGCGGATCGGAACGTCTTCGGGAAAGTCCGCGAAGTCTCTGTGTACGATAATACCGCGCATGACTAGATTCTTCCATCAGGTTGGTTCTGAGTTACGGTATCTGCAAGATAGAAGCAAAAGTCGACAGCGCCAGAAAAAGGCCCACCACCTCGTTCTCACGGGTCGGTTTTGCTTATCTCGAAAGAGTGACACAAATTGTCAGACAGCTTGTGCGTATCGTACGTACAACGTGTGCCGTTTTGCAGCATTGGATTATAGCTTTACCCAGATGGAATTACGGGTGGGATGGCTTTATTGAGTACTTACCAATATATTGTATAATATAATATATAATAGATTGTATACAATCAATGTATGAATCATGAAAGGCATCACCGTATCTTTGTGGTGTAGTCGACTTAGTCATCTACACACAGCAAGTTGATTACATTGGCCTAACAAAAGTTAGTCACATTTAGATTACGTGGTGGGGACACGAGTGAGCAAATTCAGCAAGGCTGTTTTACAGAGACACTTACTCTGTCAAGTTAGTTTAACTATAAATATCTCTTACGCGCGAACTCGGAATTCATAATACAGTTTTCTTGTTTTATGTGCCTTCGTCGTTGTTGTCATCGGCGCTCCTGTACGGAATGACACGCTTCTCGTGGGAGACAGAGAGATGGATGTCTAAGGTACGATAGCTGCGTCGACCGACTGCGCTATGTTCAAATCCGTTCTTCACGGTTCGTTGTACGCACGTAACAAGAGTAGCGTAAACTGCGCGTTTCCGTAAGCGAACCACCTCGACGAAGCTCTGCTCGCTCTCATGGAAGTTTAGAACTTACTTAGTTCCCCAATTGGGTTTCCCCGGTGGACCTGAGGTTCGCTAAAAGAAGACTGGGCCTCCGTCGCCTTCGCTATATTGCTGGCAGTACCTCCGAGGTTGTCAGGAGTCCTCTCCGAAGGAATTTATTTTCGTTTAAAGCTTCTCTCTACTCCGCTATCGTTACCTGGGCAGCCCTCAGCATAAGGAACTTCGGTGTTGCTTTGCGCCCCAGTTGCTATCACTATCACCGCAGTCGATAGTGGGACGACAGTTCTGCAGTAAAGTGGCGCCCGAAACTTGCGCGCTTTTCATCGCAGAAACGGCGCTTTATTTCATGTCCAAGTTACCCTTCATTCTGACTGACACTCAGACTGCATCTATTCTGTTGCCCATCCAGACCTTGTGCGCCTAGCCAGAGTGAAAATTCTAATGATTGTTTTTTTATTTACTGCGGTTGGTATTTGATTAGAGATATAAAGGGTATTTGACGATATAGTGTGCAAGATCCGTTATAATTAAATCACTTTGACACATTAAAGGTTTTCTCCTGCTACCTTGTATAATAGCGTTACAGTAAAGATTAGCCTTTGCTCTTTATCTAAATCTGTGTTTTGAAAACAGGAAAAGTAGAATACGTTTCGCAAAATTATTAATATATATGTAGTTAATCATATGCAACATGTTAAATACAGAAGGGCTGGGAAGCTTGTTGGTTGAGTAGCACCGTAATTTATGCCAATTTTAAACGTACGTAGGTCATTCGGATTTCAAAATAGTTCTACAAAGACGACTGTACATAGAGAGGCCCTACAGCACTGGCTAGAAATGCATTTCATTTTTTTTTTAATTAGTCACACCTAGAAAAATTTAAAAAACATTTAAGCTAATGTCTGTCCTGAAAAGTTTTTTTAAATTTTAAGTCACTTAATAAAAGTAACAAATAATGTGATTGAGGAAGCTTCCCCATTCTTAATATAATTTTGAAATCTGGATGATTAGCTAGTCGAAATCTTACAGCGTCCTAAACTATCTGTGAGCGCTCTTTGTCGATTGATCACAGGCGAGTTCATTTCAAATAAGTTTTTCAACAGCTCGAAAATCTCGAAGAAACTGGTCTCATTTGACACAAAGGTCCGTACTGGCAGTTAATGTACATAAATATCATACGCTATAATTGCCTGAGTATCTTTACATACGCTTACTTAATCTGCTCGACATTTGTTAGAGCGTTGGTGATACCTTTATCATCGGATCCCCATCCATTGATATGGAGAAGCTTATTGGCATTACCTATTTCTTTGCACAAGGTAAGGCGCGCGTCCTATCTAAAGATTCTTACCGTCATTGTACCCACCGAAAAATAGTTCTCCTCTAACAGAAGTTCGTCTTTGCAGATGGTGGTTCTCGGCCTTTCATAACAAACACAGACACCCAGCCGGGACTTCTCTCATACACCTACTTCCCTATACAGTAGTAGAGCTTCGTATGTGTTGCAAATTCTCCATGGGACTGCATCCGCCGTCTCCCTGTCGGCATTGGAGTTCGGTTGCCGGTACAAAACCCTGGAGAGACGAGTAAAGAGCCAGCCACGTTCAACTTTGTTCCTTTTTGCTCTACTTCTACTAGAACTACGGGGCGTTCGCTTGAGAATTTGTTGGCCTGCGTAACATCAGCGTTAGCAGCCGCGCCAGAAGCAGGGACTAAAACGGAATAGTCCGTTGACGGGACCACTGCATTTCTTTGCGGACGAAAAGTACGCTCCTCTGAGTAAAACGAGGGTAGGGCTAAGGCAAAAAGGAAACAGTTGGGCTTCGTGCGGAGCCAGCAAAACGTGAGCTGCAAATCTGAGATACAAACAGCAAAAAAAGAACCGGACACGCAGGGTATGACAGAAGGGTAATTTAGATTCGCTCCCTTGCAAAAAATCACTTCAATACCTACCACCAAAGTATTATTAAGAAGACCTTTGTCATTACTTTGAGATATATTTGTATTTCGACGTTGGCGTTGGCATTGCATATTCTTGCGGTGTGTTTATTTGTGATCTTTAACGCTGGTTCATGGTGTGGTACTGGCTTTCAACTGTTTGTGAACTTTCTTTTCAGCTGATAGCTAATTTGTGACCTATTTGGCCATTGGCAAGATTTAGATGTAAGTCAGTGTAAGTTGTTGATGTTTTACTAGATCAAACCATAAAAATGAGCATAACCTTTGGGTATATACTCATTATACAGCTGGTGTTACGCTCTTTTTTCGGAAAAGCGAACGACTTCGCTTAGATCAATACCATTTTCACGTATCGGTAACTGCCAGGTGTGGGCTCTATATGAAAAATTGAGCCTTTAGCTTAGCTTCTTTCTCATCTGTGTTATTAGTTTATATGAAGCAGTCTACTTTTGGCTGTTTACTTTAAAGTGGTCTGTTTAAGGAAAT